GACGCCTTGGGTCAAGCTGTCCACGTGCCTCATGCACGAGTCCAACATGGAGAGTGTCGTGGCCTGCCAGTCGATCATGTCTTGTAACTGCTGCAGCAGAGCTTGCGACTCGTGGTGCACAAACGCCAGGTACCAATTCTGATGCTCGTAGTCTGGAGGTGGCTGCCACTGAGCAATTTGCTCGAGACCGTTCTGCTCGAGCAGGCTCAGCTTCTTGTGCGCTTGGCACAGCTCTTCCCAGGCCTCGGGCAATGCCTCGGCTGGCGGCGGTGCACTTGCATCCACGCATTGCGCGCACTGCCGTAGCGTCTCCACGCGATGAATTGTGTCGGTGGTTCCCGCTCTTGCCACGGCACCCAGGGCATCAATCAAGGCCAGCACCAGGCGCTTGATGTCGCTGTTGGCGCTGGTGAGCAGCTCTTGACGCTTGGGTTCCACGCCGCTCAGGGCGATGACTTTGCTCAGGGCCGCCGCTAGGTCGGTGGGTGGCTTCTTGGGCGCGATCACTGGCGTGGTGGGTGGAGCGGGGCACGCTGCCAGCATGTCCTGAAGCTCGAGAAGCACCGGCTGCAGCTCAAAACCAGCAGTGACACCGTGCAGCTCTTGCAGCACTGATTCTAGGTTGTCAGTGTTGGGGTCCAATTGCTTCAAGCGGTTGCTTAACGCTTCGGGCGCTGCCAGTGCCTGGTCGAGTGTGTTGAGAGCCTGGGTGGTAGTCGTCTGGAAGGCAGCCCAATCCATGACGGGAAACTCTGGTCGAGCTTCATCGATGGTTTTGCGGATGGAAGCAACGACCGTTGCAAGATTGGGGTTTTGTTTGGCGGCACCTCTGATAAAGGCATCGAGGTGGGGGAGAGTATGGCTGGTGGTGCGCGTGGGCAAGAGCGGCTTGAGCCACTTGTCCACCGCCACCACAACAGAGGCCGTGGTCTAATGGAGGGTTGTGTGGTGCCATTGGTCGTGATTAGGTTGGATGAGGCCGTGGGAATTGGGGCAATAAATGCATTGGGAAAACAAGATCGGGGAGCAGGCTCACCTCGAGGGTGGGGGTGGTGGGCAGAGGCGGCAGCCAGGCGGAAGGCGGTGCCGGCGTGGGCGGAGCGAGTGGTGCGGGTGGTTGTGATAGGCGAGCCTCGTGAGCAGCAAACACGGGCTCCAGCTTGTCGCCATGCCCGCGATGACGTCCGACATCGAGGGGCGTTTCGCCACCCTGAGAACATGTGATTTGAGCGTGTGAGGTGGGCAGCGACGCGCATTTGCTTTTACATAACAAAGGCGAGGTGACAATGCTTTGAAGTGGGCCGGAGCCGCCAGACGCGCGAGTGGTGTGCAAATGGTGCGGGCAGGCAACAGGGGTCCGAAAGGAGGCGTGCTTGGAGAGAAGAAAAAAAAAAAAAGAAAAAAAAAAAAAAAGAAAAAAAAAAGAAAAAAAGAAACGGCGCGTGTGTTGGATGCAAAAGTGAAGGCACGGCCACCGAAAGCCGCTGAGCAAGCGAGGGAGGCAGAAGCGTGATGGCAAGGGGCTGGGGATGGATCAGAAAAAGGGGAGAGCGAAAACGGCAGGCGGAAGAGACCAGCGGGAGCAGGGCGGGGCGCGGGGAGCACCGGCAAAGGGCAGACGCAAAACGGGGAAAGAAGAGGGATAGCGGGAAAGAAGAAAAGGAGCCAGGGGGGGAGAACGGGCGCGCACGGATGGGCAGGGTGTAGCGGAGAGGAGGGACGGGGGCAAAGGCGACGGGGCAGCGGGAGCAGGAGCAGCAGTCAGAGGGGTCAAGGGGGGGAAGAGGGAGGTACTGTACTGACGTTGTTCTTGGCTTTAGCATCAGCACCGTGCTTCAACAGCATCTCCACCACCTTGTCATAACCGTTACGGCAGGCCCTGTGCAGTGGTGTCCAGCCAAACTGTGGGATGATGCATCAGCATGACGTACAGGTACAGCATCATCATCATCATGG